CCCGGCGCCGCAGCCCGCTTACCGCATGAACGCGTTGGGATACTGGGTGCGCTGGAACAAGTTCTCCAGCTCGCGCAGCTGCAACAGGCTGAACATGACGCGCAGGGTCGTCGGCTGCCCCTGTGCCGGCGCCGGACCCGTGACGGGGGCCTGGAGCGGCAGTGCCCCCGGCCCCGGCTGCCCTGGCCCAGGCGGTGGAGATTCTGCGGCGCCGTCGCCGTCGCCGTCGCCGTCCGCTTCCTCCTCGACTTCAGCGGCCCTAGGGTCCTGCCCCGGTGCGACCTCGGCCCCCGCTTCCGCCGCCGCTCCGTCTCCGGTGTCTTCGGTGTCTTCGGTAAGCGACATCGCCGTAGGCCGGGTTTCTGCAGAGGAGGAGATCCAGACAGAAAGATCAGGGCATCGGTGCCCAGGCTGTGGGAAGGAGGGCGCGAGGGACAGCATCTGCGGGGTGTCGGGACCGCTCCCCTCGCCCAGGGAACGTTGGTTTCTGGGGCTTGCTGCAGGCGCCTGTCCCAACGGGCACCGACCCTGCGGCTCTTCGCGGTCGTCGTCGACTTCCAGGCTGAGGAAGCCGGGGTCATCGTCCTGGCCTGGGCCGGGAGGCTCCACATCCCTGGTGCCGTCTTCTGCAGACTCCCCGTCGGATCCTTCTGGATCCATGGGTGACGACGCCGAGAGCGGTGGCTTGCGGACGGGCTCCGGCAAAGCGGTCCTGGCGTTGTCGGGTTCCCGAGTGTCTGGGTAGGCGCCCCCTCTCTATATACCGCCCGCTGCTGGGGGTTGGGCTCGCGGACGTGCGCATGCGGTCCTGGCTTGGGCACCAACCAGGCGGGGGCACTTGCAAGGGGAGCTCGGGTAGGGCGCTCTTTGCCGAGGGCGTCGGAGCCGGCAATGCCTAGCTAGAGGGGATGAGTCTTCAAGTCGGGGCTGGGCTCGCACGCCCCGAACGGGTGGCCTGTCTCCCCCACAGGAAGGCGCTGTGCTGCATGGCGCAAGCCCGTGTGGGTAGGGTGAGACACAGACCTCACCCTAGCTCTGGAGGCCCTGCCCAAGTGTTGGGAGAATGTCTCTTGGGCCAGCCCTGCGAATCCCGCCGCCGGGGCTAGAGGGGAATAGTAATGCAAGGAAAGTGATGGGCTCCGAGGT